TCAGGGCTAACTTTAAAGTGATGGTACATTTCAGTTGAGTCATAAAAAACAGGTTTATTTAAAACCTGGGATCCTTCCTAAGAAGCCAATGGAGAGAAACTGATAGGCACCAAATCCAAGCCCAAGGCTCAAAATCATAAAGCAAGAAATCATATGAAACACAGAGAGGAGAAGAAGGAGCTGTAGAACTGGGGAAAGGGGGGCGTGGCGGGGAGGGGAAGCGGGGAGAATGTTTCAATGCAAAATCTTCAGAAAGAAGCTGGACTGTCTCCTCAGAACGTTGATGAGCCACACACATTAGCACTTTGCCTTCTCAGGCTCATATGTTAGTTGGTTGCTACATGAATGGTGATAAAATATCCATTTGGGTGGAGCCAGAGGCCCAGTTACTCTCATGGCACACCTGTGAATCCTGGCCTTTTGAACAGATGACAGTAGTTCACTAAGCCTCTGTGCTATCAGAAGCTGCTACGCAAACACCAACTGTGAACCTGGCCCTATCATAAAGACATAAAGGGTCAATGAAAAATGGTATCTGAGAGGGTCCCAAAACCTAGGATATGGCAAAAAGTGACAGATTTTATCCCAACTGCTGAAGAGAAATATACTGAGACTAGAAAGACCAAAGAGGTATACACCTTCAAAATCCACCCTAACTGGTTCTTGAGAGGAGCCTCTGATGGCTGTGTAACCTTGGCATTGTTATCATTAGGCAGCTAGGCTCATTTCTGGCACCTAACATTCGACATATTGACAGCAAGTGGGGCTGATGGAAGAGGAAAGAATCTGTTTTGCAGTTTAAGAAGGAAAAAAAAGGTCTCAGATTTCTCAAGCCATTTGAAATCGTGCCAAAGAAATACTTGATTTCAGCATTCTTCAGCTCTCTGCGAAGATGCTGCAAGTGGTCTCCCCGGCATGTGATGGTGTATTTCAGAGCCAGAGTTTTCTCAAGATGTTCCAAGCCTGCAGGCTCCTGATCCTTTTTCAAATTACCAACATGATAGCATCCCCGTGAGAGCAGTGATTAGTCTAAACTCTCCACAGCTGTGAGAGATGAATGTACAAATTCCAATAAAGATTCTGCGTTCTCTGGACTGAATTTACCTACATGACATCGAGGCCTAATTCAGGGTATCCTTAAAAACAACTGTCCTATTTCTCCCCTAGCCTCCTCGCTTGGAGGCTTGCCGTGTTCCTAGAGGATGCCTCCCGTGTGCCAATGCCACTGGCCAGCAGTGGGTATTTATTCAGCAGGCCTGTGATGTGTGCAGAGAACAGCAGGGCTGAGAAATTAAACCTAAGTACATGGGAATTCAAAGAGGCCTTGCAATTCATTACGTGAATAGTCAGGAGAATTATAAAACACCTTGTAACCGAAGGGGTTAGCCTGGAGCTATAGGGGACGACAACCAGCTGTCTCACCACCTCTAACTCACAAGAAACAGGCTCTGAGAGAGCACTCTTTAACTACTTGGAAAAGCCCATAAGGCTTCCTTTTTTTTTTTTTCTTTTGTGCCAGTCCTAGGGCTTGAACCCAGTGCCTGTGCCGATGTCCGAGGTTTCTTGTTCAAGGCTAGTGCTCTACTACTTGAGCCCCAGCACTATTTCTAGTTTTTTGGTGGTTAACTGGAGATAAGAGTCTTATGGATGGAGAGGTGGGAGGAAAGGGGATGGTAGGAGAAAAACAAAGGAAGGGGTAATAATGCTCACTAGGAAGTGGACTAATTACCTTGCTCATGTAACTGTAACCCCTCTGTACAATAATATAGTATCTAGGATTTATTTTCTTCATTTGAATACTTATTCCCTAAAATACTTCCTTGGAATACTAGGTGTATATAATAATACATGGCATTCCCCCTTTTACCTTGTTTAATAATTGTAGCATCTGAAGGCACTTGCCAGTTCTTTCTGAAACATCTGATGCTCAGTATGTTTTCTAAGTCTAGGAAAGACTTAGAGCTATGCAAGACTGTTCAAGTTTTAAAAATAAAACAAAAACCCAAAGGAATATGTAACTTTTTAAATTTTTATCTTCTAATGATTTGTATAAAGTGGAAAGACATGCTTACACTCATCGTGGGCATCTGCCTCCATGGTCTGGAGTCCTCTGAAGTCACTCCTGACATTCTGACATTCTGATGGCTTACTGTCATTGTATAGTTGATTAGGCAGCCATTCATGTCATAACATTTAGGGGAAATGTGGCACTGCAATCCAGAAAAGGAATATGCCTACAGTCAGGAGAGCCACTGGAGACCTGAAACAGCCATAAACAAAACTCTGAAAATACCCAAGTCTGAATAATCTACAACACGTGGTTTGTAGATCAAGGGAACAAGCTCCAATTTCCTTCTAAAATTCACACAAAAATATAAAACCAGAAACATGTCATTCTATATTTTCATAGTCTCTCAAGAATCATCTACCTGCTAAGAGATTCTCTCAACTGCTATTACATGTCACCTTTGATCCTAGCTACTCTGGAGGCTGAGATATGAGAAGATTTGAAACCATTCCCCCCAGGACAAAAACAAACAAACAAACAAAAAAGAGCATCTTATCTCCAATTAAACCACAACAAGTCAGATGTGGATGTGTGGCTCAAAAGATAGAGCACCAGCCTGGAGTAAAAAAAGCCAAGGAAAAGCTTGTGGACCTGAATTTAAGCCCAACATCTTAGCCATAAACAAATGCAAATCAATAACAATGACATTTCCTTTAAGTCCAATCATAACAGCTAACATCAAAACATCAAAAAACAAGGAAATGGATAACCTTGGGAGAAATGAAGGAGAACAATAGAATTTAAGCCCAACATCTTAGCCATAAACAAATGCAAATCAAATAACAATGACATTTCCTTTAAGTCCAATCATAACAGCTAACATCAAAACATCAAAAAACAAGGAAATGGATAACCTTGGGAGAAATGAAGGAGAACAATAGAAGGAGTGATATTGATAGATTCATCGTACTAATAAATTGATATATTGAATTAAAAATGCTTTGTACAACTAATTGAAGATTATAAAATTTAAAAAAAAAATTGAAAACCAAGGATAAAGGTAGGCTCCAGTGGCTCATGCCTGTAATGTTAGTTACTAGGAGGCTGAGATCTGTTCAGCCAGCTGAGCTGTTCAGCCAGCTAGGGCAGGAAAGTCTGGGAGACTATCTCCAATAAACTACTCAGAAAAAGCTGGAAGTGGAGTTGTGGCTCAAATGGTAGAACACTAGCCTTGAGCACAAAGAAACACAGGGACAGAGCCCAGGCCCTGAGTTCAAGCCCCAGGACTGGCAAAAAAATAAAAAGAACAATAATGACTTTAAAAATTAAAACCAAAGATAAACAAAAAACAATGCTGGCAGGGATGCTGGGGGGTAGGGGGGGAGGGATGAACCCTTGTACACACACTGTTGATGGTAATGTAAAATTAGTGAACCTGAACACAAGTTTAACACACACATACATGCGGCTTAGATGAAAACACAAGTTTTAGCAGCTCTTGGGGGTGGGGGCACAGATTTTATAGCATTTACAATTTTCCAGAAACAATACACACCAATACTTCACCACCATAAGAAATGGTAAAGTGGAGTAAAAAATAATAATAATAATCAGAAGGGGGCGAATTTTTAACTTAGTTTTTTAAAGCTAATTGCTCGATAACATGTTCTGGAAATTACTTAGACTTCAAAGGTGGAGTCCAGTGGTGAGGCAGCCTGCCTTCTAGCGCGCCACTCGTTTTAGGTCGCTCTTCCGGGACAGCAAGGATATTCCCAACAAAGTAAATTCATGAAACTAATAAATCATCTGGATCACACCATTCCCAGGGTTTCCAGGGATCTTTGCTAATCCCATTTTAGAAATGCTCCCGGGGCACTGGTTAGACGGCGAGAGCATTGTCAGGAATAACGTTCGCAACACTATCTCTGAAACCGACGTTACACGTCTTCCAAGCAGCACGTTACCGCACGGCGGGAAGGCCTGACGGGGCACGGCACCTGTGAACAGTGGCTATCAGCAATTTACATACTAGTAGAGAAAAAGAGAGTCCTGGAGGCTGATCCTTTAGAGAGAGGGGCGCAGCCCAACTGGTGGCGGCGCCACAGTTCCAGCCCCTCCGGTAGACGTGGCCCCCGGGCGGTGCAATGGGGTAGGTGAGTCCTAATCCAGAGCGTTCCCCTCGTTCTCACTCCTCTCTCTCCCTCCCCTCCCGCCGAGCCTCTGGCCCTCGCTCCTCCTCGCGCTCGCTGTGACTCTGGAGATCTGACTCAAACTCCCTTTATCTGACGGAATACTAAGGGTGGGCACGTTCGAAGTGCTCCTCCGACAACGGATCTCAGCCCCCCGCGCGGACTAAGCCTGAGCCGGGCGGCCGGGCCGTGGCCTTCTCCGGATCTACGTGGCACCTGTTACTGCGGCAGACGCTGGTGCCCAGAGTCTACATAGAATCTCACTGCCAAAATTCACACCAGCAGTAGTCGTGGCCGAGTGGTTAAGGCGATGGACTAGAAATCCATTGGGGTCTCCCCGCGCAGGTTCGAATCCTGCCGACTACGGGAAACGAAATTTTTCCCAAAACAATGTTCTTTTTCATCAGGAGCGTCCTCTCCGGACCATCCGCAGATTATTTAAGGTATTTACGAATGGCTGACCCGCACGGAGGGGCAGAGGAGGGGGCGAAGGGCACTGTCGTACTTGCGGAAACAGCGTGAGTGCGGGCGAGGAAAACGGACGCGAGCTGGTGGAAAAGCTAGGAACTAAAGCGACGGCGTCCGCTGGGCCCGCAGGAGCCGACAGCCGGGGTCTCCGGCCCGGCGGGGCACCCCGCGCCGCCCCGACCTCTGGACCCGCCCCGGCCTCCACTGCGAACTCAGCAGCGCCCCCACCTCGCGGGCGTCGGCCGCCGCGGCTTCGGGCCTCGCGCATGCGCGCCCGCCCCGCGCGGGTTCTCGCGTTGCCATGGAAACAACCCGCGGCCCCGGGCCACCCCCGAGAGGGAAACGTGACGATTCAAGATGGCGAAGGACCTGGATGAGCTCTTGGATGAAGTCGAGAGCAAGTTTTGCAGACTCGACCCTCTGAGGCCGGGCAAGACCGAGCGGGCCAAAGGCCGCGGCGGCCTCACCAACTTCAGCGACTCCAGCCAAGACCAGACGAGGAAGAATCTCAGGTTCACGGGCGGGAAGGGTGGGCTGTCCTAGCGAAAGCCTGCTCAAAGCCGTCCTCCCCGCCCCCGCCGGCGCCCCCACGCGAAACGCGCGGGCGACCCCCGCCCCGCACCGGGGATCGGCCCCGCGAAACCCCGCTCGGAGGCCGCGCTACCCGGACTGGCGGGCGGGAGCCGCCCGAGCTCTCCAGACTAGGCCAGAGCCCCGCCCCACCCGCAGGCCCCGCCCCACCCGCAGGCTCCGCCCCTTCCCGGCTCCGCCCCGGCCGGGCTGGCCCCGCCCCCGGCGCCCGCCGAGTCCCGCCCTTCCCTCCCGGTCCCACCAGACAGCCGCTCTGAGGGCTGGGGCTGGAGTCCACGCGCGGGTCCGGCCCGCGTGCTCGTGGAGGCACCGCTTCTCTGTCCCGGCCGCCCCGAGGCTAGAGGGTTTGTAGCTCGCGCGTCCCAGCAGTTCTCCTAACCCTGCGGTGCTCCCTAGCAGAAAACCTGCTCTGCCCCCTTTCCCCGGGGCACCTGGCCTGTCACTGCGAAAGAAGAAAACGTCTTTCTAAATGGCATTACCCGATGTGTCTTTAAACCCACGGGGTTAGATGAGACTCATGCCAACGGAGTTTATTGTTGTCAACAGTGTCTGCGTTAATTAGCCAACTACCTTTTCCTCTCCATGATCCAAGTTAAGGAACAAGCAGTTGACTGACAGCCATATCGAAATCTGGGGACATTTCTTAAATCTTTGATTTTTTTTTAGTCCCCCCCCAAAATAAACTTTCAAATTTGCCCCCCCGTAATAATTACTAATAGGACTTACTTCCTCCTCCATTTCCCCCCCAACCTCAAAATCATCAGTTGGGAGTCGTCCTTTTGTTAATTGCCATTTGCCGAGAATATTTGGGAAATTACACAGAGACACCTTTGGATCATTTCTTGTTAACTTTATAACTACATTTGTGAGGTGTGTGTATATGATTTCCCGGAAGTGCTATAATCAATTCCCTAGACTTATTTATACTGACATGTATTTATTTTTTAAAAAAGTCACTATCAAGCCGCGCACTCTAGCTACCCAGGAGTTGAGATCGGAAGATTGCAATTGGAAGCCAGCCAGGGCAGCAAAGTCCATGAGACTCTTATGTCTAATTAAACCATCAAAAGTTGAGAAGTGGAGATATGGCTCCAGTGGTATAGAGTACTAGCTTTGAACACAAAAGCTTAGGGACTCAGTATGTTCTCAAATAAAATAAGATAAAATTTAAAAAAAAAAAGTATTAGAACATAAAACCATTGAAAAAATTCTAAAGTAGTTTAAACCAAAAGTTCTAAAAATCATTTGAATATCAAGGAACATTTATAAAATAAATGTAGAAACAACTGTGATCACTACTCTCAATGGGCCCCTAGATTTTCAGTAATAAATTTATAAAACGCTTTAGTGAATCACTAGTGTTGTCATTTGTGCTAAACATTTTGTCTGGCAACTAAGCAAAAAGCAACAAAGATCATAAATCTAATGCTAAATATATTATCCATATATGAATATATCACATATGTATGTATGTAATGTTACATTAAAATTTTGCCTTGAGCTAAAATTAATAAAGAGCTAGGAAACAAATTAACTAATATAGTAGTAAAAATGTAATTTGTCAGAGTATTCAAAATGATACAGAAAAATACATAATGAAGTTTTTTTTTTAAGACTGATATGAAACCAGGTATGGTAACACATGCCTGTAGTCCCAGCATGCAGGAGACTGAAGCAAAAGAATCATGACTTTAAGACCAGCCTGAGCTACACAGCAAGCAGTCTTTGAGAGGGGAAAAAAAAAAAAAAGACTTGTATTGGTTGGGTAAAAGTGCAGTAGTAACAAAGTAGTTTAGGGTGATACCAATGGGAATATTTACATATAATCTCTCAGATAATAACTACAATAATAATAGCTAAAACTGATTGAGTCACTTCTCTATGCTGAATGCTTTCTAGGTTTTATTTAATCTCCACAACCCTAGGAAGTAAATACTGTTATCTTTTTTTCATTTACCAGATTAGGCGTTTTGGGAGTTTTAAGTTGAGAAATTCATCTAGGTTACCAACTGATGCCAAGTCTAACCTGCTTTTGAAGAAGCAGCATATGGATGGAAACTATTTTCAGTAGTGAGTAAGGAAAGTTAGCAGCTTAAATAAATGTTATTTTTTTAAAGTGGCTTGAGTTTGTTGGGTGGGGTTTTTTATGATTTTTTTTTGGTAGTTGTTTGTTTTCTTAAAGAGAAAAGTTTTAAACATGCTCTCAAAGCAAAGGAACAAGCCAGGGGAAAGCAAGACACTAGGGATAAAAGAGACGGGGAGGGGGCCGGGGATGAAGCAGATAGGCTAGATCAACCATCAAGCATGAAGCAATAGGCTCTGGATTTTCTTGCATCATGTTAAATTCATCTTATACAAGGTAGGAACAAAGAAGAGCTACAACTCCTGGTGTTAAGACACTTAAGAATAAATACATTTCTAAGTTAGTTTGGCCAAAACAAACAACAACAACAAACTTGCCTTCCAATACAAGTCAATTAAATGTCCAATGAAGCTGTGGCGATAATACTGATATATAGTATCCACAACATTTGAACTATAAAAAGGACTCATCTCATGGCATGGAAGGCGGTGGACTGCCCTGCTTTCTCCTGTGATTTGTATGACTTTGGACAAACTTCTGAATCTCTCAGTGCCGTCTCTTCACCTAAAAATTAGAATAATAAAGATACCTCGTGTAAAGACAGAGCCTGACATTTAGTAAATATTGTGTTTGCTTTTAAGTAGAAGTTGTCTTGGACAGAAACAGTGCATATTAGTAATCCAGGATGACTTTGCCAGCAAAAGATAAAGAGATAGCATGTGTGTGTTTTGTTTTGTTTGGGAGAGTCGTATTTTTTTTTTGGTTGGTTGGCTTATTTATATTTGTTTGTTGTAGAGGGTTTGTTTGTTTTTGGTGCTAGTCCTTGAACTCTGGGCTTGAACTCTGAGCCTGCGCCTTGTCCCTGAGCTTCTTTTTGCTTAAGACTCGTGCTCTACCACTTGAGTCACAAATCCACTTCCAGCTTTTTGGTAGTTTATTGGAGGTACGAGGCTCATGGACTTTCCTGCCCTGTCTGGCTTCAAACTGTGATCCTCAGATATGAGCCTCCTGAGTCGTGTGACCCACGGGGACCCATCAAGAATTTTACTTTGCTTGGTTTGAGTTGGCTTTTCTTTGTCTTTTTTTTTTGTCATTTGATGATGTGAACTTTGGCTCCTCTAGTAAAGAGGCATGGTTGACATCCAGTGGAAACTTTTGCTTATAACAAGTACTACTTAACATTCCATTTGTTTTCATATTCGCTAAAGAAGTAATTGATGTCATTTAGAAAAGTATATTCTCAGTTTTCTCTTGAATGTAACGTGGGTGTAGCTGTCTTGTCTTTTTTACATATGTAACAGTAAAGAGCCTATGTGAATTTATACCAATAAGGTATATCTTTGTCTCAAAAACTTAGGCTGCATCCATAACAAGAAAAACAGTTAACATCATACTTCTCCTGGCATGATAATCTCCAGTAGTGGACCTGAAACAAAATTCCTCATGTAAAGAGCTTATCTGTTCTTACACTTTCAGGAGAGATTTTCTCGTGTGCTTTTCTTTTTCAGATCAACAGAAAAAGAAGATGATCTTGATAGTCTTATTAATGAAATATTTGAAGAACCCAACTTGGATAGAAAAACTTTTGTAAGTCAGGTGTTTTTGTTTTTGTTTTTGTCAGTTGGGGGACACTGTTTTGTCAGTGTCAGAGCACTGTCCCTGAGCTCTTCATCTCAAGGGGGATGCCCTACCACAGTGCCGCTTTCGGTTTTCTGGTAGTTAATTGGAGATAAGTGCCTCATGGACTTTCTTTCCCAGGCTAGTTTTCAACCACAATCCTCAGATCTCAGCCTCCTTAGTAGCTAGGATCACAGGTGTGAGCCGCTGGCGCCTAGCTAGTAAGTCTTTATATTTCTAGACTATTAGAATAGCCTTAAAGAGGGCACAGTGGCTATATGTAGTCCTTTGAACCCTGAGTACAATTACTTTAAAAAGTACAATTACTTTTAAAAAATAAAATATAGAGGAAATTCTATATGAGAAACTCTCACTGTGTGCTTCCCTGTTTCTTTCTCAGCAAGAATAAGAAACTAGGAAAGCTGTTGGTGCAAAAGTCAACACACAGCTGTCAGGTTGTTCACTTGTATTTATTTGTTGTCTAAAATCACTTTTGTAAAAAGCTCAAAACAGAAAACGTTCACTGTAGGTATATGTTTAGCATCTCAGCTGCAGTGCTATTGCTAATAGCCTGTGAAGTGTTAATATTTCAACTTTTTAGCTGAGTACTGCTGGTCATGTCTGTAATCCTGTCTACTGAGAAGGCTGAGATCTGAGGATCTCACTTCCAAGTCAGCCCAGGCAGGAAAAGTTCATGATACTCTTTCTTATTTCCAATTAACTTCCAAAAAGCCATTAGTGGAGCTGTGGCTCAAGGGGTAGAATTCTAGCCTTGAACAAAAACATTCAAGGACAATGCCCAGGCCTTAAGTTCAAGCCCCAGAACCAGCTCAAACAACAACATTTTTTTTAATATTTATGTATCTCTTTTAATTTTGTAAAGTGTTCATGAAATAATAATATAGTCACCATTCTACTGAACATATCTTAATAGCTATCCAAACTAAATATATTTCAATGTTTTGCTGTGTTGTTGTGCTTTTTAAAATTTTACTTATTTTTAATTTTTAAAACAGTTTTTTTAGACTGAGGCCATCTGTAGCTTAGGATGGCCTCAGTCAAACTCATTATGTAGCCTAGGTTGATCTGGGTGTCCTCCAAACTTTTGTTTTTAGTAAATAAATAGCAGAGATATTGTTTAAGACCTCAAGTCCTATTCTGAGGTAACTGCTATCCTTTCCATCAATGCTTTGATATTTTAAGAAGGTAAATACCATAAACAATTTTTAAGTGGCATATAATAGTCCACAACTTATTTATTCACTTCACCGGCCACAGACATCTAGACTATACCCAGTAGTTTACTATTGCAAATAGTACTCCATTAGATGTCTTTACCTATGCAAACCTAGGAAAGGAAGGCCTAGGTCATAAGCTATATGCTCAGCTTCACCTTTTCTACTCATTGCCAAATTCTTTTCCAAAGTAGCTGTGTCTAGTTTTTCTCACCAGCAGTGTGAGAGTTTGTACACCCTAGTGTATACCAGTGTGATATGTGTGTAACATTACTCATTAGAATTTTTTAAAGATTTCAAACAAATGTCTGATTTACAAAGGTCATAAAGAACACCCAGAAAATATATGTAACAAAGAAATAAATATAGCACAAGAGCTTTGGGGTGTTTTTGTTTTGTTTTGTTTTTAAGCTGAACAAGGTTAAGACAGTGGACTGAAAAGCACAGGTTATGAATGTAGGCCGCTGGTATCTTTGTCAGTGAGACCAAAAATGAGCTTATTGGAATAGTGTGTTCATGTGTGCATGTGTGCGTGCGTGTATGCATGTGTGTGTGTCTGTCTGTCTGTTGGATCTGGGTCCTGGGACATGAACTCAGGACTTGGACACTGTCCCTAAGCTTTTTTGTTCATGGCTAGTGCTCTACCACTTGAGCCACAACTCCACTTCCAGATTTTTGCTAATTAATTGATTAGTTTCACAGACTCTCTTGCTCAGGCTGGCTTTGAACCTTGATCCTCAGGTATCTGCCCCCTGAGTAGCTAGGATTGCAGTGCCTGTATTAATATAGCTTTTAAAATCTGAATTTAGTAAATTTGACATTTTCATTCACCTGTCTCATGATAAGTCAGTGCAATGGTAATGTTAAACACTCTGCAAGAAGCACAAGTGCCAAATTAGTGCAGCCTAAGTGCCAAATGGTGATGCTAATTAGTAGGTAAAGAAAATGGGATGATTGGGCTGGGAAGGTGGCTCAGTGGTAGAGTGCTTGCCTTGCATGCCTGAGGCCCTGGGTTCGATTCCTCAGCACCACATAAGCAAAAAGAAAAAAGCCGGAAGTGGCACTGTGGCTCAAGTGGTAGAGCGCTAGCCTTGAGCTAAAGAGCTGAGGGACAGTGCCCTGGCCCAGAGTTCAGGCCCCACGACCAGAACCAAAAAAAAAAAGAAAATGGTATGATGTTTTTGTTACCCATTAATCATCTGAACATTACTTATTAACTATTCTAAGGTATATATGAGACATTATTTTCAATTTGAAGGGTTCAGAAGATAAATATTTCTCTGGTATGGCTTTAAAATATACTAAAGTGAATATAGCTCTTAAGTCATGAAGAAATAATAAATTTTGTACATTTCTATGTTTCTTCCTAGTTATTATATCTGGTTTTCTATCCCTTAAGGGAGAGAACTGATCTGAGTTAAATATTTATTGGGCGAGTAAAAGAAGTGTTTATGAATGAATGGTCCTGCCCACACTGCCCTACCAGGCATCTCATACCCCACAGCACTAACCCTCACGCAGCCTTCCCCCTCTCATTCGTTACATTTTGAGTGCATGCCTGCATGTGTGCATGCATGCATGCTAGTCCTGAGGCTTGAACACAGGGTCTGGGCACTGTCTGTGAACTTTTTCACTCAAAGCTAATGCTCTGTCACTTGAGCCATACCTCCATTCCTGGCTTTTTGGTAGTTAATTGAAGATAAGATTCTCATGGACTTTCTGGCCTGGGCTGGCTTCCAACCATAATTCTCAGATTTCATCCTCTTGAGTAGTTAGGATTAGAGCCAGGCATGGGTGCTGGCTTCATTTGTTACATTTTTTTTTAAACTGCTCTCAGACCCACTCTAGAAAGCCCAGAAACCAACAACAAATGTCACTGTATTAAAGTGTCAGGTTTGGATGGTAATATAAAACATTTCCTAATATGAAAAGACCCAGCTGGCACCTCTAATCCTAGCTACTCAGGAGGCTGAGATCTGAGGATAGCAGGAAAGTCTGCGAGACTCTTATCGCCAATCAGCTACTAAGAAAAAGCTGGAAGTAGTGTTGTGGCTCAAGTGGTAGAGCGATAGCCTTGAGCAGAAGAAGCTCAAGGACACTGCCCAGGCCCTGAGTTCAAGCCCCAGGACTGGCAAAAAAGAAAAGACCCATGCACATTACTATTTTTCAGATGTGAGGGGGGAAAAAAATCCTGTTTAATGTAAAAAAAAATAAGAGAAAGAACAAAATATTTTTGCCTCCATTCAACTTCCTCACTCACTAGGTAAAATGAAGGCATGTCTCTACATAGTTAAAATTGACTTCCTGTTTCTTACTTCCTCTCCTTAGTGGTGGTCCTAATATGTGCTTGGTTTATGTTGTTTAAGAACATATACCAGTTAACACTTAATAATGCTGGCCAGTGATGGGCAGATTATGTAATCATTAGGAACTACTGTTTAATTATAACTAGGTAACTACATTTTCCTTGAAAAATCTATTGGTTGATACCATTCCCTTTGGTCAAAACTAATATTCCTGAGGTTATACAGGAGTTTGGTTCATTTATTTTTAATTCAGATGCATACCACTCACAGCCTTTAAAAATTAGTCTGGGTTGGTTTGGGTTTTTTTCTTCCTCAATTGAATTTTTCCAGAATTAAGTTTTAAATAGCAGGTCCTTCATATTAAATCATTGAACTCTGATATTAACTGAAGAGTTATAAAGTGACTGTAAATCTTACCATGCTAGTGGCAGTATATCAATTTCCTATACTTAAAAGTTAGTGTAGGAAGGTAATTTACAAATTCCTTATGGATTTGTACTTCCTTGTTAACCTTTAAATGGTCATGATCATTGTTTTCCTTTCAGACACTTACAAAATGATGCTACCAAATTTTTAAAAAATAGGTTAAAGTAATAGTTTAAAACAAAGAATATTAGCTTTCATGTTGCCATTCTCAAAGTTACTCTTGGCCTCTTATTTTGTTTTCTAACAGAAATTAAAATCTAGATCTTCAGGTAACACATCTACTAAAGCCTCTATTCAAGGCCTCAGTAAAAGGTAAGTTGAGATCGCTTTAGTGAGTTACACACTCCAGTGAGCAAACACTGTGAGCCTAGTCTAATAGATTTTGTTACCATTTGAAGAGCAGTGACACTGAAGAATAAAATGTAGGTTGGTCTTTAGGAGAAAGATCAATAACAATATCCTCAATGTTCTTATGGTCTATGCCCCCCCCCACCTTAGTATAAAGGAAATTAAATGGGAGATTATTGCTATTATAAATAATTTTCTGTGTTTAAAAAATGTGTGAACAGTTTCTCAAAATTAATGTTCTGTTATGTTCTGAAGCATTTACTTTGTTCCTTACATTATTTGGCAAACACATTTTTCTGTGACTCATTTGGATTCTTTGAGTGTTCCTAAATATGTAGGTTATGTCCAATAAAATAAATACCTCTTCTTTAAAATAGCTGGCTTGCTAGGGGAGATGTGCAATTTGATTAGAAGCACACAAAGTCAGTGGGGCCAAATTAACTCCTCCTATTTCTTTCTGTTGAACACATCCAGTTGCGGACCCGTGTACCTGAGTGGAAGCAATGTTCCGTGGGGGATTGGAACGAATGCATCACAGAGGTAGGATGTCACAAATGCCTTATTCTTTCCCAGTAGGATTTTTTGTTTTTGTTTTTGTTTTTTTTTAATGGATGCTGTTTTGTTGAGATGTAGTTCTTACCATCTTGGCATCAATTTATTTTATAATGAGAAGCATAATTTATTAGGCATTCTAAGGACAGTTCATTGAAATGTTTCTTTTTCTTGGCAATTAGCTACCAATGGCTGTGATGTAGGGTATGTGTTCATTGTGTAGAAACTCCTAGCTCACTAAGGTCAAACTTGGTTCTTTTTTTTTTCTTTTCTGTCAGTCATGGACCTGAACCCAGAGCCTAGGCGCTGTCCTTGAGCTCTTTTGCTCTACCACTCTACCACTTTGAGCCACTTGACCACTTCCAAATTTCTGGTGGTTAATTGGAGATAAGAATCTCACAGACTTTCCTGCCCAGGCTGGCTTTGAACCGAAATCCTCAGATCTCAGCCTCCTGACTAGCTAGGATTACAGGCGTGAGTGAGCCACCAGCACCAGTCCTTAAGCTTGGTTTTCACAAGCACCAGGAGAAAGCACCTTCCAGGCAGTGGGAAGCAGTACAGTGGCACTACCCACGATGCCTCAGCCACACTGATTGGCCAAACAGCAGAAAACTACAGGTCCTCGTTACACAAAAAGTTCTCAAGCACAGTCACTTGATTTACATATTTCTAAACCAGAACCCCACCACTACTGCTTGTATGTTCCCTTCTCCTTTCCAGACTCACTTTCTTACCCATTATCTCAGACAGTCTTACTCCAAGCCCATGTTAATTCCCAGCGTATTCCAGCACCATTTTCACAATACAGGATGATTTTAAGAAAATCTTGGAAGCCGGGCGCTGGTGGCTCACGCCTGTAATCCTAGCTACTCAGGAGGCTGAGATCTGAGGATCAAGGTTCAAAGCCAGCCCAGGTAGGAGAGACCGTGAGACTCCTATCTCCAATAAACCACCAGAAAACCAGAAGTGGCGCTGTAGCTCAAGTGGTAGAGTGCTCACCTTGAGCTGAAGAGCTGAGGGACAGCGCCCAGGCCCAGAGTTCAAGCCCCACGACCGACCAAAAAAAAAAAAAAGAAAATCTTTGCACTGCCTTGCTATCTTTGGTTCTATCTTTGGTTCTATTTTTGGCAAAAAACCTACCTCCTACATTACTTTATTGGGGTTTTTATTTGTTTGCTGGTACTGGGGCTTGAACTCAAGGCCTAAGCTGTTCCTTAGCTTTTTGTTCACAGTTAGTGCTCTACCACTTAAGCCCCAACTCCACCTCCACCTTTTTGATGGTTATTTGGAGATAAGGGTCTCATAGACTTTTTACTACCAATCCAGGCAGGAAAGTCTGTCTCCAGTTAACCATCTCCAGTTAACCGTCAAAAAGCTGGAAGTAGAGCTATGGCTGATGTGATAGAGCACTTAGCCTTGAGCAAAAAAGCTCAGGGACATAGCCAGGCGCTGGTGGCTCACGCCTGTAATCCTAGCTACTCATGAGGCTGAGATCTGAGGATCATGGTTAAAAGCCAGCCTGGGCAGAAAAGTCTGTGAGACTTTTATCCCCAATAAAACCACCAGAAAATTGGAAGTGGTGTTGTGGCTCAAGTGCCAGAGCACTTGCCTTGAGCTGAAGAACTCAGAGACAGTGCCTAGACCCAGAGTTCAAGACCCACAGCTGACAAAAAAAAAAAAAAAAGCTCCGGGACAGCATCCAGACCCTAATTTCAATCCCCAGGTCCAATACAAAAAATAAAATTCCCAGGTAATATGCTTTGCCCAGGGTCATTTTCATTATTATGAAACAAGGACTCAAACTGGAAACTTGACCCCTAACCTGTTAAATACACTTTCAAGTGCACCAATTTACTGCATTTAATGTGGGTAGCAAGGAAGTAACTGCTTTTGCTATTGGAGCTGCACTGGTATTTCACACCTGTAATCCCATCTACTCAGGAGGCTGAGATCTGAAGATTTGAAGTTCAAAGCCAATCCAGGCAGGAAAGCCCAGGAGACTCTTAACTCCAGTTAATCACCAATAAAGCCAGAAGAGTTGTGGCTCAAGTGGCAAAGTGCCAACCTTCAACAAAAAAGCTCAAGGACAGCATCAACACCCAGGCTCTGAGTTCAAGCCCCAGGAGCAGCACAGAAAAAAAAAAAAAAAGAAATTAAAAAAAAGACTTAGTTCTTTAGCTCAGTTTGTGGAAAAGAGAAAGAATAGTTGCGTAGTGATATTAGTAAGTGATATAGATAAAAAACCAAGGTGTTATTTTCAAGCCAACTGAATTTTATCTGTAGCATACTTTTTAAACCATTTGCCAGACTGGATTATTCCATAGACTGTACTAATTATGATGTAGTAGAGTGAGTCAGAGCAGTGAAATGACTTCTTTAACTGAACATTACTTGTAAGAAAATGTGGTAGTGTGAATAGATTTAAATAAACTACTAAATTTTAAATTAAATTACAAAGCTGTGTTTAACATTATGGTTGAGATTTTACACATATAAGATGTCAGGAGATTCTAAATAATGACTCCCACCACAGCAATAATTCAGCCAAATTGCATATATGTATTAAGGCATTAAAGTTAACACTCTGTGCAGTCATGTAATAAGCTAGATGCATAAGCAAGCAAGTAATGGTCGCTTTGGGAACCATCACTTTGCATTTGCTGACTTGTACATCCAAAATGTGAATTCAAATTTGTACAAATGTGAATCTGTTGAATTTCCATATGTACCAGATACACCTTCATAAATGGTTAACAAATTGAAAGAAAATATAGAGTTGCTTATGAAATTTATATATATTTTTAAATGGTTGAGCACCAGCTATGTGCAAGAAAGCCAAGCAAGCTGAGCCACCCTGACACTAAAAATAACAATAATAATAATAGGATCAGCATTTAAGCCTACCTCTCTATGCCCAGAGTCCATGCACTTTGCTAACTGTACTTGTGACAGTGAATATTTTTTTTCCTTTGTTGTCATTTATAAGCACTTGGTGGATAAGGAATAAAGAGACATATTTGACCATCTGTTGAAAAGTTTTCATCTTTTTTTTTGGTCGTGGGGCTGAACCTGAAACTCAGGTTCTGGTGCTGTCCCTGAGATCTTTAGCTCAAGGCTAGTGCTCAACCACTTTGAGTCCATAGTACCACTTCCTGTTTTCTGGTAGTTAATCGGAGATAAGTCTCACAGACTTTCCTATCCAGGCTGGATTCTCAGCCTCCTGAGTAGCAAGGATTATAGCCATGAGCCATCAACAAGCAAATGAATACATTTTAACCAAACAAATGAATACATTGATTCCAGGTCATGGGGAAATTAAAACACATAAGCTATGATTCCAGCACAGAAGTCTTTTACAGTAGAGATAGATTTGTTTCAGGGTAGTGTCATATATTCTTTGATAGGAGAGCTTCTGGAAATTTCAGTAGGAAGAAAAGCACTTAAATAAAGAGCTCCCTCCGATATAATTTGAACATCATCTAATTAAAAGATATATAGGAAGTGGCGCTGTGGCTCACGTGGTAGAGCACTAGCCTTGAGTTGAATAACTCAGGAACAGCACCCAGGCCCAGAGTTCAAGCCCCACAACCGACAAAAAAAAAAAAAAGATATATAGATCTTTGTTTTATGTCTGTGTGCTTATATGTATTCATGTGCAAGATCTTGGATGTATGCAAAAATTAACCTGAAATTTAGATGTGTAAATAATTCCTTAGTACAAACACTCATAGTTAATCTGTACTTTTTGCTTACATATTGACTAATCTGTAATCTGTAAATGTACCCTGTGATACTTATAGTTTCTAATGAACATTTCTTTTTCTTTGATCAGAGCATGTGACCGTCTGCGTTGTATAGCTTGTGATTTCTGGGTAGTGAGCTACAGTGACTATATGTGGGACAAATCCTGTGATTATCTGTTTTTCAGGTATGTTTCCTCCTATTCTGTCTGTTTTCAGTACTGGGGCTTGAGCTGTGAACTTCACTTGGTCAGCAAATGTGTTACTGCACATGAGCCACGCCTGCAGCCATTCACTTTTAGTTTGTTTTCAAAATAGGATCTCACTAACTTTTGTTCCACTCAGCCTCCATTCTGCTTTCTCCCCCTCCCACGTACCTGGGCTTTGAGGTCTGAGACATCAGATAGAGCCCTTGGATATGTTTTTAAGGAACTTCACTCTGAAAAAGTACATGAAAGACTTTGCATTTCTCATTTTGCTGTATTGTCTCCTGGTCTTGGCCACGAGACAATGTGGCTTTCCTCTTCCATATTTTTCTTGCCATCTTACCTCTTCCTTTCCATTTGTTTTCTGTCAGTCTAAATAAGGATTTGTTATTTCTGGACAACAGTGTAGAAGTATTCGCTGGTCTTTCAGACCATGCTTTTCTAAAGCATAGCTCCAAGTTTGCTACTATTATACCCAACACTCCTCTACTCACAGAATCAAATTTCTTAGCAGGCATTTAGGCCTCTCCAGGCTCTGCCCAGCTTTCTCTTCTACTTTTACTTTTCTTAAGACTTAAGCCCATCTCTGTTCTCAGTGCCCACTCCTGATGGCTGTGCAAGTTCCTGGGGGACCTGCCTGACATTTTACCTAACCAAGCCCTCCCTGCTTCTCAGACTGCAGTGTGTACTGCATCTTCCCTGGTTCCCTTACCACCCAGTTTGGCATTAAACTCACACATGCACTCATAATCCACACATAAAACATACAAGCCTAGGGAAAATTACAACCTCAGAGGCTTTATAGTTCCTCACCCAAATAAAGCCTAGCTCTGTCCCAGAAGTCCAAAGTTCAGAACCCCTGCTCTCAGATTTAGCCTACTTTTTTCCCCATAGTTGGAAATGTTAGCTTTTAATTTCAGTTTCCCTTTGCCTTTCCCACTTTTTCTAAACCCATTTAGTATCTTCTGGCTAATAATCATCATGTGTCAACAAGAGAGATCACATACCTTTTTTTTTTTTTTTTTTGGTGGTTAGGAGATTTGAACTCTGGGCCTGAGTGCTGTTCCTCAGCTCTTCAGCTCAAGGCTGGCACTCTACCACTTGAGTCACAGCACCACTTCTGGTTTTCTGGTGGTTTATTGGAGATAAGTCTCTCTCAGACTTTTTGCCCAGGCTGGCTTTGAACTGCTATCCTCAGATCTCAGCCTCCTGAGTAGCTAGGGTTATAGGCATGAGCCACCAACACCCGGCTTAGATCCCATACTTTTTAATTGTTTTTATAAAGGTGATGTACAGAGGGGTTACAGTTACATAAGTCAAGAGCACATTTAGACAATGTCAGCCCTTCCCTTGCTCTCACCATTTTTTCCTCCCCTCCCTACCCACAAGTTGTATAGTTCATCTTAAACAGTATCTAGTGAGTACTACTGCTCCATTTGCTCACCCTTTGTCCCTCCATTTCTACACCATGCATTTTTATAAACTATCTTGATTGGTACATGAGGAACTGAATTATGCAGCATCTGAGTCAGCAAGAACATTGGAGTCAGGCATGGTATACACACCTCTGGAGGCTAAGGCGGGAGGATAATGGTTTCTGAGCTATATATTATCACCCTGTCTCCAAAAAAAAGAAAGAAAGGAAGGAAGGAAGGAAGGAAGGAAGGAAAGAAGGAAGGAAGGAAGGAAGGAAGGAAAGAGAAAAAAAAACGGGTAGGCAGGCAGGCAGGCACACACCAGTGGCTCACTTCTGTAATCCTAGCTACTCAGGAGGCTGAGATCTAAGGATTGTAGTTTGAAGCCAGCCTGGGCAGAAAAGTCAATAAAACTCTTATCTTCAATTAACCACCAAAATGCTAGAAGTAGAGCTGTGGCTCAAGTAATAGAGCACTAGTCTTGAGCACAAAAAACTCAGAGACAGAACCCAGATACTGAGTTCAAGCCTCAGGGACCAGCACAGGAAAAAAAATAGTGACTACTAGAAGATTTATTACTGTACTAAAAATAAACTTTGTGTTATTATTTAAATCAGTGGATAGTATCTCGACTATCAAGATGACTAGGAATATGTTTGAGAGATAAAAGAATGGAACAACTAAAGAAGAAGCTAGCCAGGTGCCAGTGGCTAACACCTATAATCTTAGCTACTTAGGCGACTGAGATCTGAGGGTCAAGGTTCAAAACCAGACTGGAAAGGAAAATCAGTTAGACTCTTATCTCTAATTAATCACAGAAAAAAAAAAAAAAACAGAAGTGGTGTTATAGCTCATGTGTAGAGTGCTAGCCTTGTGCAAAAGGCGTTTAGGTTCTACACCCAGGACCAGAAAAAAAAAATAGGCTGTCCCAACCAAGATATAAATGACATTTATTTTTGCACAACTTATTAGCATTTCTTAATCCAACAGATGTTATTCAGTACCCAGTTTTTGCTGTCAAATAATGCACAGTTCATCATAGATGAATTCAATAAATGTGAATATGATAGATGAGAGAGGGGTCTCAAGACTCCATCTCAGTGAAGAAAGTTGGGCATGGTGTCATGAGCCTGTCAGCTCAGCTGTACAGGATGTTTAAAATAGGAGATCACAGTCAAAGCCAAACTGGACATGGAAAAACAAGACCCTACCCGAAAAATAACTTCAAGCAAAAAGGGCTAGGAACATAGTTCAAGTAATAGAGCACCTGTCTAGCAAATACAAAGCCCTAAGTTCAATCCCTAGTACTAAATAAAAGAAAAAGAGAGGGAAAAACAGGTTTGCAAATGCTATTGAAAGTGTTTCCCATAGTGCAGTGAGTCCATCTATCTTCAATGGTATCACTCTGCATATCTGTTGCAGGATAAAATGCTGTGCGGTGCCATTTTATTGTTTTATTGCTCTTGTTTTATAGATGAAGAAATCAGGTATCCTAATATTGACAAGTGCTAGAACTTTCTAAAAGAAACAAGAGTGAACTGAGCACTGATGGCTCACATCTGTAATCCTTGCTACTTCATGAGGCTGAGGTCTGAGGATTGCAGTTCAAAACCAGCCTGGATGGGAATGTCCATGTGACTCTTATCTCCAATAGTGTTGGAAATGGCACTATGGCTCAAGAGGTAGGGCACTAACCTTGAGAACAAGAATCTCAAGGACAATGCCAGGCTCTGAATTCAAGCCCCAGGACTGGCACACAAAAAAAAGGAAGGAGCCAGGCTCCAGTGGCTCACACCTATAATCCTAGCTACTCAGGAGGCTGAGATCTGAGGATCATAGTTCAAAGCCAGCCTGGGCAGGAAAGTCTGTGACACTCTTATGTCCAATAAACCACTAGAAAACCGGGAGTGGCGCTGTGGCTCAAGCAGTAGAGCGCTCACCTTGAGCTGAAGAGCTGAGGGACAGAGCCCAGGCCCAGAGTTCAAGCCCCACGACCAACAAAAAAAAAAAGGAAGGAAGGGAAGGGAGGGAGGGAGGGAGGAAGGGAGGGAGGGAGGAAGGAAGGAAGGAAGGAAGGAAGGGAGGAAGGAAAGAAGGAAGGAAGGAAGGAAGGAAGGAAGGAAGATAGGAAGGAATGAAATCAATAATTATTGAACACAGTAAGTAGTGAGTGATTACTACCACAGTCACCAAGAAAAACACTTTTATCATTTTATTAATTTATGTGATTAAGGAAAAATGATAAGATAATTTATTTCCTAAACTTTGAACATATATTCTTCCTAAAAAGCTCCCGGCACTGAGTGTGATGGCACATGTCTATCATTCCAGCACTGAGAAGGCTAAGCAGGAGGATCACAAGTTCGAGTGGCCTACACAACAGAATAAGTTAGAGGCCAAGTCTGGGCTGTATAAGAAAACCCTGTCTTTAGAAAGGAAAAAAGCACTTGTAGTGTATCAGTTTTCTGACTACTCATGACTCCTATTCCTAAAATCTCTAAGGATTCAGTCAAGTATAAAAATGTTAGATTAGGCCAGGTTCCTGTGGCTTACACCTGTAATCCTACCTACTCAGGATCCTGGCTGAGGTCTAAAGATTGCAGTTTGAAGCCAGCTAGGACAAGAAAGTCTGTGAGACTCTTACCTCCGATTAATCAGCAAAAAAAAACAAAAGTGAAGCTATGGCTTAAGTGATAGAGTACCAGCCTTGAATGAAAAAGTTCAGGCACAGACAGCACCCAGGCCCTGAGTTCAAGCCCCATTACTGGAACAAATACAAACTAACAAACAAAAATAAAAGCAATAAGATGTGAAGTTAGGTTAGGTTTGTCATTCAGAATATATCTGGCCATGGTAGTTCATGCCTGTAATTCCACCTACCTAGGAAGTAGGGATTAAGAGGATTGTGGTTTAATGCCAGCGTAGGAAAAAAATGATTTAGCTAGACCTCATGTACACACACACACACACACACACAAACACACACACACACACACAGTGTAGGCCTATCATTCCAACTGTGTGGAAATCAGAAGTAAGATAGTGCTCCAGCAGGGCGCTGGTGGCTCACGCCTGTAATCCTAGCTACTCAGGAGGCTGAGATCTGAGGATCGAGGTTCAAAGCCAGCCCGGGCAGGAGAGACAGTGAGACTCCTATCTCCAATAAACCACCAGAAAACCGGAAGTGGCACTGTAGCTCAAGTGGTAGAGCGCTTGCCTTGAGCTGAAGAGCTGAGGGACAGCGCCCAGGCCCAGAGTTCAAGCCCCACGACCGACAAAAAAAAAAAAAAAAAGATAGTGCTCCAGGCCACAACACCCAATCTGAAAATAAAGCAAAAAAGTCTGGAAGCATAATTCAAGTAGTAGAGTGGCAGCCTAGCACGTATGTCAGCTTGAATTCAAACCACAGTACAATTTTTTTTAAAAACCAAAATGAATAAAAAACATATTCTCTCATTTTAATTAGCTTAGTTGTGGTGATTTTTTTTTTGTACTGGAGTTTGAACTCAAGGGCTCACACCCTTTCTTGGCTCTGTTTTTCCCTCAGAGCTGCTACTTTACCACTTGCATCATTACTTGCGTCATTTCACTGGTTATTTTCCTTTAAATACTTATTTTTATTAAGTCATTGCAAGTAAGGGGCTTTAATTGCAGACGTCAGAAGTCAGGTTATGATTACAATGCGTGCTGGTCAATATCACCCCTTTTCCTCCCACTTTCCCTATCCCATCCCTAGCTCACTTTCTACATACTAAGCCTTGAATGTAATGACTACATTTGCTCACCCTTCCTCCTTCCATTCCTGTGCTCCTGTACACACACACACACACACACACACACACACACACACACACACACACACACACACAGAGAGCGCGTGTTTCGGCTTTCTGGTATTCCTTTTATTAAATGGTTCTTTAGCTATTCAGAGAAGTTACACCACTGGACTCCTCCCCTAAGTATATCATCCTTTTGGCAAATCGTTTGTGTATATATGGATATAACTGTATACGTTGTCATGTTTGTTTGTATTTTAGAAATACATATGAAAGAAATTGTGCACCATTTGTCTCTCTGAGCCTGACTTACTTCACTTAACATAATTTTTTCTAGGTCCATCCATTTCCCCACAAATGATTATATTGTTCATACAATATTTTAATACAATGTTATCATATTGTATAATTAGTACACTTTCATTATACATAGGTACTATATTTTCTTGAGCCACTCATCTATTGTAGGGCATCTGGGCTGTTTCCATAACTTGGCTATTGTGAACAATGCAGCAATGAACATGGATGTGCAAAAGTCTTTACTGTATCCTGACTTGCAGTGCACTGGGCAAGAATGATATGGCTAGATAATAGGGTAGTTCTCTTTAGTTTTGTCTGTTTGTTTTTGCTGGTCATAGGGCTTGAACTCTGGGCATCGGTGCTATCCCTGAGCTCTTCAGCTCAAGGCAAGCACTCTACCATTTGAACCACAGTGCCATTTCCGGTTTTCTGATGTTTAATTGGAGATGAGTCTCATGGACTTTCCTGCCCAGGCTGGCTTTGAAATGTGATCCTCAGACCTCAGCCTCTTGAGTAGCTAGGATTGCAAGCGTGAGCCACCAGCGCCCAGCTATGTTTAGTTTTTTAAGGAACTGCCAGAGTGGTTGTACTAGTTTACATTCCCACCAACATTGTAATAGAGTTCCTTTTTTTCCACACACACCACCCCCCCATCATTTTTTATTATTCAAATTATCTATGCTGGCCACTCTTACTGGGTAAAATGGAATCTCCATGTTGATTTGCATTTCCTTGATGGCCAGGGAGATTTTAGCATTTCCTCATGTGTATATTGACCTGCTTGTTACTTGGAGATAATTTCTCAGATTTGTTTGCCTAGTTTGGCTTCAAATCCCAATTCTCAGATCTCAGCCTCCTGAGTAGCTAGGATTATAGGTGTGAACCACAGGTGCATAGCCTGATTTTTTTTCTTTCAGATAAAACTTACTCAGTTCTAACCCTATCACCTTATAACTTTATAACCCTATAACCTTAGCTAAGTCACTTAACTAGTTAGAGGCTCACTTTCCTAGTCAGACCATTGGCCTGGAATATCTCTGAGGAGGATTCATTAGGGTCTATGCCTAAATCATTGCCTAATTTTGTAGTACAGGATGAATGTGGTGCCCACTGACCACCAGAGGGCACTCTGATGCCTGTGTATGCACGAAGTATGCTCCCTGTAGTGTTTATACCGTTTCATCGTTTCACTTTATATATTTTGTCATTCCATTTTGAATTTGTCCATTTTTGCCACAGAATGCTTATATAAACCTAGCATGTGAATTATCATAAAATTATAATTGATTTTCTTTATTAATGAAATTTATAGTGAATTCTATATTCCTTTTTGTAAAGGCACCAAATCTAATGATTATTATTTTTCATGACTGTCTTGCTCAATGATTTACTTACTTTAACCTTGTCAACATTTATTTGGGGATTGGCATATACTTGATGCTGATAGTATGGCTAAATAAGAAAATCACTGAAATAAATGAAAGATACAGACAGTTCAACATGCAGAAGTAGCAGGCACCTTTTCCTCTGTTAAGGGTTTTTCATAAGAGCTTATTACCTTTATGCTTCTTACACTTTCTCCACTTCCTATATTGTTAACTTTTATGATATACATGCAAATCTGAGATAGGAGAACCACCGTACTTACCATTTTTCTCATTCATGTCATCTCTGACAAGTCAAATCAATAATTCTTCAACCTTTTTACTACTGTATTCTACAGTACAATATCTTAATAAATATGCTATAGGATTACCATTAAAAAGTGCTGAATATTAAATGGGTGTGATGGAGCATGCCTATAATCTCAGCACTTGGGAGGCTAAGACAGAAGGACCGTGAATAGGAGTCTGGCCCGGGCAACTTAGCAACACCCTGTCTTTAAAAGAAAAAAGTAGTACTAAATATCAGAGAAATATCATCAGAAAGAAACTGCTGAAGCCTGTCTTCTATTTGTGAGAAGGAACTAAGGTCATTTGCTGTTAAGATAATCTGCTTGGAAACAATAGGAAGCTAAAGCGATTAGAACTTCTGTGTCATTAAACACTGAACAAAGCCATAATGATGAAGCCTTCCTGTTTACCAACAGGAACAACATGCCGGACTTCCACAAATTAAAAACAAAACTGGTAACGAAGAAAGGAGCCCGGGCTTATGCCTGTCAGTGTAGCTGGAGAACTATTGAAGAACTGACAAACCTGCAGACAGATCATCAGCTTCGCTGGGTTTGTGGTAAACATTAGGAATACAGACTTTACATTTGGACAAATGCATCAGTAAGAATAGACTCTTAACTGATCGCCATCATATTTAGACAGAGGTGTATACTAATACCACGCCTTTGGAATTTCACTTACCTACACAATGAACTGGAGGAGACAGACATACTATACTATAGCAATTTAGAATTATTCGTGTGTGTGTGTGTGTGTGTGTGTGTGTGTGTGTGTGTGTGTGTGTCTCTCTCTCTCTCTCTCTCTCTCCCACTTGAGCCACAGCTCCACTTCCCAAGCCTTTTTGGTGGTATTAACCACCGAAATAAGAGTCTTGTCTTGAAGATAAAAGACTCAAGGACTTTTCCTGTCTGGGCAGGCTTCCAACTGTGATCCTCAGATCTCAGCCTCCTTAATAACTAGGATTATAGGTGTGAGCCACTCATGCCTGGCAGAATTATTCCTTTTTGGTACGTGGATGCTTCACTTAGTAAGGTAACAAACCCAGACTTTTTGCTAGGCTATCTCTTGTCCCATGGAAAGTTTAATTATGGAGTTTGTAGAACTATATGGCCATTAATTAGCAATTGCGGTGTTGTCTGCTAATATATTTAATATACACATTCCTCATATATAGCCGTAAGATGAATCTAGCCAGGGTAGAGAAGTCATTGTAGAAATGTTCACAGCACCTCCTCCAGTCTGATCTGTTACTGCCAGAGATCAGAATTTGGACTCAGTAAAGCCACACAATGAGTGGCTAGCTGAAGGGTTGTCAGGAATACAGATATTTGTAAAACACTGCCTATAGCTCATGGACCTCACCAGTGACAGGCAGAACTATACACAATAATGATAATGTTATATTACCAGTTTTAGCTTATTTCCTCTCCCTTTGTTTTATAGTATCAAAAGTTATTTAGTTTCTATCTTAACAAATATCCATTTATATATGTATAAACAATTCTTTTTTTTTTGGGGGGGGGGGTCCGGTTGTGGGGCTTGAACTCTGGGCCTGAGCACTGTCCCTCAGCAATTCAGCTCAAGGCTAGCACTCTACCACTTGAGCCACAGCACCACTTCGGGCTTTTTTTCTTTTTTGCTTATGTGGTGCTGGGAAATCGAACCCAGGGCCTCAGCCATGCAAGGCAAGCGCTCTACCACTGAGCTACCTTCCCAGCCCCTAAACAATTCTTCTAACTCTCTTAAAGTGACAAAAATTCTTAATACCAATAAGTCATTGTTTGGTTTTTCAAGAACTCTCACAATTAATGCCAACAAGTGAACAGCAAGTAAGATAATTCATCAGCCCATGAATTTTTCTAGTAGGATAAGATTGGTATATTATTTATTAGATGAGTATATAAAGAGAGAAATAGAAGTATAACAAACCAGCAGACAATGTGCTGGTCCCTTGACATCACTAAGATTTGACCTTTACAGTAGTGGCACATTCAAAAAGTCAAGTCTCACAGTTTGCCCCTCATAGCTTCATTGAGAGATTCTGGTGGCTTCCTGCTTGCCAAAAACTCTCTATACATGTATCTACATTTGGGTTCAAACATGAGATGGGGTAGATCGAAAGGAAATAGTTTTTAGCAAAGTTATGATCTTGTATTTACTACCTATTCTAGCCACCTTCTAAAGGGAGGAACAGGTGACCCTTCAAATCCTTTTCCTGACTGTGACACACGTGCATACTTATAAAACTTACCCTGAGCCTAGCATTGCAACAAAATAAATGTCAAAGTGACTGATGCTCACGTTTTTTGTGCTGAAATGATTTGCAAGCTTTATCTTTAAATAAAATTTTTTACTCTAAAATTATATTTCTTTGTAATTGCATCAGAAATTCAGGGAGATTTGGGTTGAAGGCAAAAAAAAAAAGTGCAAGCAACAAGATCCACACAGAGGCTCACAGTTGGCAAGTCAGTCATAATGGGAGTGATTTCTTTTTATTCCAGTAAGCAAATGTACTAAACCATTAGCTTGAAAATATTAAACCTATATATTTTAACCTACATTAAACCTATGTTGCCTTTAGAGGGACAAATTTGTCCTGTTTCCTTTTTTCTCTTTTATTTCATTGTAAATATTCAGAAACTTGGACACATTACCCATGTTTGACAGTCTATAACATAATAATTGTTCTTTAGTGTTAGAAATGCATATGAGTTTCTTTTATTGGCAATTTATAAGCTTAATGTTTATGAGCATGTCCTATTTTCATCTAAAATGTAGATAGAAGGTTATGTTTATTTACAGATGGATATCATCTGCTATAAATGCAACTATTTTAGTGTAGGGATAAAAGAAAAGCATACCTTCTTGTCAACTTTAATTCAAAAATGAAAAATCTAAAACTGTTAAGATATTTTGAGGGCTGGGAAGGTGGCTCAGTGGTAGAGCCCTTGCCTTGCATGCATGAGGCCCTAGGTTCGATTCCCCAGCACCACATAAGCAGGAAAAAAAAAGCCCGAAGTGGCACTGTGGCTCAAGTGGTAGAGCGCTAGCCTTGAGCTGAAGAGTTGAGGGACAGCGCCCAGGCCCACGACCGGACCCAAAAAAAAAAAAGATATTTTGGGTATTTTCATTATTTATAATTGTTTTATACTTGCAGATATCTATTGTTAAGCCAGAAAACTACTTTATTTGGAACTGATTACATTCTAACTCTGTTGTTCTTCCTAGACATGAGTAAATAACAAATAGCTTTACTCTGTGTTTATTGTTTTCATTTTATAGTAAACTATATGGACATTAATTTGAAATATTTTTGATGCTATATTTAATGTCACCAAAAAAGTTTCCAAGTGGGCAGGGAATGTGGCCCAGTGGTAGAGTGTTTGCCTGGCATGCACGAAGCCCTGGGTTCGATTCCTCAGTACCACATAAACAAAAAATAAAATTTTCAAAAAAAGAGTCTCATGGACTTAAAAAAAAAGTTTCCAAGTATCTAGTCAAACAGAATTGGTTTACACTAGGGAAAAGAGATATATCACCACAAGTTTGAAAGAGAATATATATACATATGTAAAAGAACATAGGTATTCAAAGTAGCAGGTCCAGGTCCAAGAAACACAGACACTGTTGATATGACAGTTCCTGTCCAAATGCCAGTAAACTTGATATCTTCTCTTGGGCCAAATTGTAGGTACACGTGTAGAGGCTATGAATCTGAATTGCTTTTGGATACAAAAGAGTTTTTGAATCTAAAATACTCAGCAGTGAGTGAGATGAAGCTCAGCAGTAAATTCCAAATACTTAGTTTTCTCAACCATCCTATTTTACCAAAAATCTTAATCAACCACCACACTCTGCCCAGTAGTCAGCTGTACCTGTTATCTCCAACAGGTTTTGAAGCAGAGACAAAATTGAAATAGTCAATTTCTTTGGGTTTGTGTGCCCATTTTAAAAGACTGTATAGGTCCTGGCCTTGGTGACTCACACCTATAACCCTAGCTACTGGAGGCTGAGAGCTGAGGATCACAGTTTGAAGCCATCCCAGGCATGAAAGTGCATGTGATGTTTATTTCCAATTAACCAACAAAAAGCCAAAAGTGAAGCTGTGGCTGAAGTTGGTAGAGCACTAGTATTGAGCAAAAAAGCTCAGGGATAGTTCAGGCCCTGAATTCAAGTCCCAGGACAGTAACCAAAAAATTGATTGTATAGGATGATAAGATGTGTAAATCTACACGTGGATGATGATAATTCCATTTGTCTATATTCAAATGCTTTGAAATCATGGATGACAAAATGATGTGTATAGAATCAGAGGTATAAATCATATTCCTTAGGAAGTTACTTGACTCCTTGGAGTTCATTTGCCTTATCTGAGTGAATAGTGATTTGTAAGTTCAGAAAGAGTTACTCCTATAACATGAAAAGTAACTAGACTAGTGTTTAGTCTACAATCAAGTGCTCAGCAAATGTTCTTGCTGATCTTCCCTTTAGAGTAAATACTGTCTAAATTACAGTAAGCATGTAGCATGTGTATCACAGCAGATCACTTGACCATAGATCATTCCCTATGAGAAAAGCATCAGTGCTATTCCTAGCAGTTGTTGTAAACATGACTACAATTCTTCTTATGTAAGTTGAGGCTGCCACTTTTATGCATGAAAACAGATGCCCCTGGCCTGCTTCTTTTTGGCTGACTTCAGTGTGCCATCATGAAGGCAGCTTCATCTGCCCCTGCACCCCCTCCTCCAGCCAGGGCACCTGCAGACTGATCCTCAAGCACCCCTCATCTTGGACTGCCCTCACTCATTATCCAGACATTTTTTCAAGCCCTTATCTTGTACACCATCTGTTCTCTAAGTGAAGTCCACCCAGGTGAATATCCAAGAGGTTTTTATTTTTGGGGGGAGGGGGTTGTTGTTGTTGTTGTTTTTGTTTTTTGTCAGTCATGGCGCTTTAATTCTGGGTTTGGGTGTTGTCCCTCAGCTCTTCAGCTCAAGGTGAGTGCTCTACTGCTTGAGCCATAGTGCCACTTCCGGTTTTCTAGTGGTTTATTGGAGAAAAGAGTCTCACGGATCTTCCTGCCTGGGCTGGCTTTGAACCATAATCCTCAGATCTGAGCCTCCTGAGTAGCTAGGATTACAGGTGTGAGCCACCAGTGCCCGGCTTCCAAGAGTTTTTCAGGTCAGCAAATCTATTCTCATGGCAGTTAGGTGGTATTTTCCTTGTTTAAAATCTGTGGACATTTACACTGATGATACAAATGGCAGGTAAACTTGCTGCCACCCTCCCTTTCATCATTTAAAGTAATGGCGCTGTGCACTTGCAGTTTCCTCCAGAAAATAGTTTCACTTCTCATTGGTTTTGATACAGGTAGTAAAAATCATTGGCTTCAATAATATCCAAAACAGTTTTAATATTCTTGGTGTCTACGTGGGAAGTATGCATAAAGCATTGTGCAGTGGAGTTAGCTGAACTAACTGCTGACGGCTGACTCACAGATTAACTATTAGAATTCAGAAAATGAGTGATGCAGCTACCAAAGAATAAAGGATATGGTTTTAAGCTAAAATTAGAATTTTAGAAAGCTTGTATCTATCACAGTAAGCAAGACAGCATCCCAAATACTTAAATTCTTCCCTGGTAAGGTTTAACAAGTGATTTCTGATACTCTGTGATAAAAGAGAACAATATTTGGGAAATGTGTGTAATTCAGCACTTATATTGCCAAAGACCAATGCATTCATACTAAGTTAGACCAACGGAGTTTAATGTAAATCAGTGCTCAAAGTTCATTTGATAAGATTTTAGATTTTGCATTACAGCTAACTTTTAAGGAACTCACACTTGCCACATGTTGATATAGAATTGATCTATACTGTAAGCCACTGTTCCTGTAGGCTCACCTATAAGATGAGAATCAGATTTAGTAATTTAACTTCATTTCCTTTTACTTAAAATAATGGTATGAACACTGATCCTTTAAAAAAGAAAAAAGGGGATAAACAAATGCAGCAGTGGTACTCACTAGACACTATGGTGAAAATGAACTATATAACTTGTGGGTACAGACAGGAGGGAAAAACTGGGAGAGAGCAAGGGAAGGGGTGACATTGTCCAAAAAGACATGTACTCTTTACCTGACTTACATAACTGTAACCCCTCTGTACATCACCTTTACAATAACAGTAAAATAAAAATCGGAGCTGGGAAGGTGGCTCAGTGATAAGAGTGGTTGCCTTGTATGCATGAGAACCTGGGTTTGATTCCTCAGCCCCATATAAGCAGAAAAAGCTGGAAGTGGCGCTGTGGCTCAAGTAGTAGAGTGCTAGCCTTGAGCTGAAGAGCTGAGGGACAGCACCCAGGCCCCGAGTTCAGGCCCCATGACCCATAAAAAAAATTTTTTTAATTAAAAAAAAAATTAGCAGGGCACCAGTGGCTCACAACTGTAATCCTAGCTACTCAAGAGGTTCAAACTCAGCCCAGGCAGAAAAGGCCATGAGACTCATCTCCAATT